GTTGGTAAAATAGAAAAGAACACTAGTTATTTAATAAATTACAAAATACAATTATATTTGAGAGTAAAGAATTCGGCAATTTTGTACTTGAAATGTTTCCGGGCAATGTGCAAGATTTCACGGAAACTCATCAATTGTTAGTTTGTGCTTATGAATTATTTTCTTCGTATAACAAACAACTTTTTTTATGCACATTTTATCACAGATCATCTTCATCATCCGTATATTCACACTCCTCTATAATTCTTGTTATTTCTGCGTCATGCTCTTGAGACTCGTCGTCGAGTAAATGCGAGTCACCCTCCATGAACTTGGCGAACCTAAAAACACGCATGATTACGTTACATGAATATATTACGAATGCATCACTTATTAATTTATTAAGGACCAAAGTTGAATTAAGATAACATTCAATTTGCAATTCTTTTCAATGAATCCATACTACTAAATTTTAATTTTTAATTAATCTAATTTTCAAATTGTGTTGCTGAGTTATAGAAGATTGTAATAATTTGTATTAAATTACTAAACTTTTCTATCTTGCATTTAATTTTATTTTGTATTTTATATTCTCCGCGACAAGTAATTAAATCATTTTGACTAAAAAAGTTCCAAAATTAAATATTTTGATCCTAGGATTTTCTTGACCCAATGCTCAATGACACCAGTTGAGAATTTCTATTGCATATAGAATTCCATTATAAAAGGAAATTCCAATCTTCTATTTAGATTCTATAGTTTTTTGAGATTTGAAAAAATCGATCAATATGTAATAATATTATGAAAGATTAATACTTGATCCTTAATGGGTTATCTTCATGGATGCACACATACAAACACATACACGTTGAGTTTCAATTAATATACATAATAACGATAATAACCTTATTGGATCTTTTAGTCTTAGAATTGTTTTCCATGGATTACATTTAGGACTAGCACAATACTCTTTTAGCTCATTTAACGCTTTTTTCGTTTCTCTTACGCCTTCTTTACGATACTGGTCTTCTGTTAATAATTTTCTTCTTTCAGGAAACATGTTCTTCCTGATTTCGAACAGGTGTATACATGTAATATACGGTCTTGCTTTTCTAAACGATAATACTAATGCTGTCGTTATTATTACCATCGTTATCGTTACTGCTATTGTTATTATTCTTGTTACTATTAATTAATCGCTGTTATTTATTGCAATTGCTATTGGTGGGTTGATATTTTTATGAAAGATCACTCAAAATACAAGTTTTTGTTAACCAAATTTAATTTGCATTTGTAGCAAAAATATAATTTGTAATAATTTACAAATAAAATACGTGTTTACGTATTTATTTTACTAAGCAATGTAATTTTATCGTATTTGTTTCAAATGAAATAAAAATAATATCGTGAAGAAATATGAAACAACAATTTATTAACACAAGTATAAAACTTAATAATAAATAAAATAACATAAGTATTATTAGAAATACCGATATCCAATAAGAAATGATTATATTGAAGATTAATAATAATAAACATTAAAAGCAAGCACTGAAACAATGTTAACAAACAAAATATGAGCTGAAAAGCTTAACAATGATGATATCGTCCAATAACTTACCAATAGATTCTGCCTTTTTGAATTATTACAGTAGGAAAGTTATAAAGTAGAAAAATTAAGATACAACAAAAACTTGATGCCTCACGAAAATAACTGCTATAATACATGATAACCAATCCTGCTATCTAAATAAATAAAAAAAAAGAAAATATTAAATGAAATAATTTCTTAAGAATTTTGATCTGTTAATTTTATTCGAATAAGCTATTCTACAGACCTGTAGAAACCATTGAATAAGTTTTTTCGTTCTAACGTTTGTAACAGGACCAAACCGATAAGCAATGACGAAACTGATAAGAGACGTTAATAAAATGTACCAAGCAACAAATTCTCTATACTCTACAACGATTAATTGGATATTTTCCCATAAAATTTGGATTAGATAAAAACTCATTGTCCAACCAGTGACAATCGTGAGGTACATCATTTTACCCTTAAATTGCATATGTTTATTGTGAAAAAACAAATTAATTTGTTAAAAACAAGGATGGATGAAAAAATTGAAAGAATTAATTTACCCTTAATAGAAATTTGCTAACAAAGTATATTAAAATTATAATTGAGGTGGTGATTCCAAGCATTATACTGCTTAGATAATAAAATAAAGGATTTTCACTGAATTTATGACCATTCCAAAATATAGTAGCACCCATCAGCATTAACATTAATGCAGAGACATCGATACCTATTTACACAAAAATTTAAGTACCTTTCATTTATGCAATAAATTCTTTTGCTTTGGTACACTTACGTGTTTGTATCATGCTAACTGTATATTTGTGCAAATTGGAAGAATATATATATACACCAATGCATACATCTTCGAAAGGATTAATCTTTAGTCTGTTGCTCTTTTTTGTACTGAATACATTAAAGCTCCAGGACCTTTGATTATCATCATGCTTTTTTGTTACTTCTTGGGAAGTTTTTCCATTGTAAAGATCATAATTTTCAATATTTGTATTCAAATGTATCTATAATGTAATAAGATAAAGACTAATTCATACAAAGATGTACATGTTATATATGTTATATATTATATATTGCCAAGTATTATTTCTTACTGTTAAAGTTCTCCACATATGTATCAAATATTTTGTATTGGCACTATGGCAGAAAGTTTGTAACCCAGGTTTGTCATTTTCAATAACATCTCCTGGCTTTAAAAAGTATACTAGAAACAAGTTTAAATTAAAAAAATTAAATAAATGAGATAATCCTAGAGGCATTCTTTTCCAACATTTATCTTATATAAACGATTATATAAACGAAAAGTAAAATATAAAGTTTTCAAAATTCGAAAACAGAATGCTAACAGATGACAATTGTTAATATTCTCATGATAAGAATAAAACAAAATTGAATTGTTCAATAAAACATATTGTTATAAATGTATAGATGTTGGTATGACATAAAGTAAAAACTAAAACAACTATTCCTTTCCATTTTTATCTATATTTTTTGTTACTTATAATGATAAAATTAATATTATTTCGTAGTAAACCTTTTATAGGTTATAATAACATGGGTATTACAAGTTACACGACTTACTTGATTTCATGGTTGATGCAGATTCTGTGCACAGATAGTTAGAAATAAATAAAAAGGTAATTACAGTTGACCAGTGTATTATTCCGTTGCCCATTTTGTGGTCTAGTAAAAAGTAACCGGTCTTTTAACCTTAACCTACAAATTTTGCGAAATAGAGAAACACTGAATTTGTCAGCAGGTTATCATCTGAAATTCAAAAATCGAGACAAACGACTCTCGACAATAGTAGTGTTTAAGTGCATATCGATGTTATCTTTTCTAACTTCACTTCGTGAAAGTAGCGCGAGTTCACTGTATAATTCGAAAACATTGGTAGAGAATACTACAGTTATCAAGCAGAAAGAAAATTTAGTGCTGAAGCTCTATATGTCTTGAACAAATTTATAATGAGTCAGTTTATCTCGTTGCAAGGTATATATCGAATAATATTGGCGCGTTTATGATAAGAAAATGCAACAAAATGCATTGTTAAAATTGTGTATTACATTTATTTACATTTGTTTTCAGTTGGACAATGCGGAAACCAAATTGGTTCGGCGTTTTGGCCCTTAGCGTTACACGAGTACGGCGTGCAAACAACAAATACTGGAATGAATTTGCTTAAAACGCAACGAGATCACATTAAAAATATCGGCGATTTGTCTGATGCGTTCGACAGCTTCTTTGTTGTACCTGACAATTCACATGATTTGTGCTTCAAAGGTATAACCGATTTGAAACGAGCCAAGGTCAAAGCTAGGGTATATTGATTACTTTATTTTATTGTTACTCAATTGTAAAAAAAAGTCAGATGAATGTTATATTATTCAAATTATATCATTAATAATTAATGTTATTGACAACTTTATATATCATGGATCTCTTGATATGTAGGCAATATTGATAGATATGGAGGATAGTGTCATAGGAGGATTGAGGAAAGGACCTGTGCGTGACTTGTTTGATCAGGCTTGCGTTGTTACAAATTATCCAGGATCTGCCAATAATTGGTATTGATCTCTTGATCATTCTAATTGATATGATGGGTTACTTTTGGGCAAAGGAAATGTTGCTAATAAATTTTGTAGGGCTGTAGGTTATCATACTTATGGTACAGAGTATCATGAGAAATTGGAAGATACTATCAGATATATGGTAGAAAAGTGTTCTAAGTTACATGGTTTTCTATTAATGCATTCTGTTGGAGGTGGTACTGGTTCTGGATTAGGAACAGCTGTTTTAAAGCTACTGGCTGATAATTATCCTACTATAGATAGGTATTAACTTTGTCAGAAAAATATATGAATTGTGTGTTAAAGTGTAATTACAATTAAGAATATTAGCTGGCATCTCATTGTCAATGTTATTGTTATTAATTTTTTTAATAGTTATTGTTATTACAGACTAGTACCTTGCATATATCCAATTGTTATGCAAGATGTTGTTACAGCTCCATACAATGTATTGTTGTCGACTCGAGAGCTTATAGATTACGCAACTTGTGTATTTCCTATTGAAAATGAATCTCTTTTGGATATATGCAATGCACAATTGAAAGTAAAAGGCAACACAGAACAAATAAATTACAATGTCTCATGTAAGCCATTTCAAGATATGAACAGTATTGTTGCAAATATGCTTCTTCATTTAACCAGGTAATTGCAATCAGTTTCACAAATTCTTGTTTGTAACTATATATTTTGAAAATAGGGATACTATGCTTTTTAGTGGATCTAGGTTTCCTGGTAATTTAAATATGGATATGAACGAAATAGCAACGAATCTCGTACCGTACCCTAAATTACATTATATATTCAGTAGCGTTAGTCCATTAACGTTATCCGCGCCAACGATGTACAGTGTATCAGGAACAAAGTACTTGTTAGCTTATGATGCCATTATGTAAAATTATAAAAATGTAATTTGTATATTTTTTTAAGGCTAATAGATGAAATATTTATTAATGCATGGTCACGAAATAGTCAGTTAATTAAACTAGATCCGCTACAATCAGGGTCTATGATTTTGAGTGCTGCGCATGTTGCTAGAGGAAACTGTTCTGTGAACGATTTAAAACGAAACATTGAGAGGTAAATTGTATATTTTGTCAATAGCCCATCTTCCTTGCAAGCATCTGCTGTAATCACGTAGTATAATGTTTTACTTTCTAGATTTCGGAAAAAGGTTACGTTCACAGATTGGAGCAATGAAGCTATGAAAGTAGGTTTGTGTTCTGTACCCCCAGCTGGACACTCAATCTCTTTGTTGTGTCTTTTAAACTCTTCCTCGATGATCTCGTTATTTAAAAATGTAATAGAACAGTTTACGAGATTGTACAGAAGGAAGGTAATGTTAAGAGCACGTATTTATATACGAAGTAGATCCTGAGAATCAGGAATAGCTTTACGTTATAGATTGTCGAAATGTTCAAAGATCATAGCCAGCCATGTGTTTTTTAAAAATCATTGCTCCACCCTATATATACAGACATGAAATTTACAACTAAGATTATGTTGCAGGCACATGTGTATCACTACACCCAAGTACATGGTTTCGAAGAAACGCATTTCATTGATTGCAAAGAAACAATTTCAAATTTGATTATGCAGTACACAGAGCTGCAAAGTAAAAGTCAAAAGAATATTTCTCGGTTACAGATACTTTAAATTCTTAAATTAGATTGTTTTATTTAATTTGATCTGTACATTAACAATATGAACACAAAACAATAAAAATAGAATGACACAGCTTATGTATTGGCAACAATAAAATTACGTTTCATTGAAAATTTACAGCTTGCGCGAGTTTTGTATCCACATAAACAATTTGGAATACTGAGCACATTATCTGTGTACTACATACATACGTAGCAAAAGCTTTTGAAAGTCATTCAAAAATCAATCATCATCTTTGGAGATAATTAATATACATAACATTAATTTATACCGATGTTTTATCAGCGTTTTAACTGGCTGGTATTTGTGGCAAACCAAACTCGTCTACTAAAACGCCATCCTAGAAAGAAAAAAAAATTCTCTTTCGATATAATTTGTCAAGTAAAATGTTTTCTAATTGTACGAAAAATAATTGATATAAATTTTTAATTTCATTCTTGATTTTATGAAAATACCTTGTTCCTGATGGAACTCGCGCCAGGTTCTTTGTCAGGAGCGCTAGGTGCTTTGATCGCGTCGTCCAAGTAACTGGTGTCTTCGTCGACAGCCAAATCGTCTCCGAGAGCCTCTAATTCGGCTGCTAGTTCATCCTCGTCTATATCTGGCATACCGTAACTGCGACCCATCGCCTCTTGGACTTCGTCCGCTTGTTCCAACATATCCGCCAAATCGTCTTGAAGATCCTGCATGATGCATAAACTTATCGTCGTAAGACAGCGAAAAGAAACATACAAGAAATGGAAAGTTGGCCTGAAAATACCTCGATCTGATCTATATTGATATTTTTAAACTCTTTCTGCATTTGTTTCACTCCTTCTTTCATGGCGACCACAGTTGCCTGAGTGTCTTTCAGCGTTTGTGTAGCATAATTTGCCTGTTCCATGTTAAAGGCTTGTTGACGCAAGTTATCCACCTGCGCTTCATACATCTTGCGCTGTTTCAGAATGCGTAACGCCTTAGCCTTCACCGCATTCTTCGCCGGGCCATCTTTCATTTTAATCATCTGATCTTTGTATTTCTTCAATTCGGCATCTAATTTTGCTATCTTTTTCTCCGCAGTATCTGCTCTGCTGTCAACCTGTCGCAAGCATAAACAATAATCGCACGTTAGAAGTAATCGTGCAGACGGTAATATAACCTCACTTCGACGATGAAACAAAAACGAATATTTACCCCGGCGATACAGTCGGTGAGACTTGGTGACGGTTCTTTGGCTTTAGGTCGACCAAATAGTCTATTCATTTTGTCGAATAAAACACGCACAAGGTAAAATGCGATTGTCTCTCCTTCCTCTTCTGCTTTTCTTTTTCTTTGATTTTTCTTTCTATTTCTCGATCGTTCACTCGAAACGTCAAGCTGACTGACTCATCGCAGCCGGTTGCTCCATCTACTGTCACGCAGCATATTTATCAACAATCAAGTTTAGTTTTGAGCGGGATCTCGACGTTCCTGCTTTCAAGGTGAAAAATATAACGAAATTTAACCGGTTATTAGTAAATGACTATCCACATATATAGTGTTATCTATCCATCATTCAGTTTTCGGAGCAAACATTGAAACACGACACCTACCGAACGGCTTGATAACGATATTATCATCATTATCAGCGTTTTATTCCGATTGGTGGAATTCTAATCGACAAATAATAAGCATTTCATCGACGAAGGCTAAATCATTCATTTAATCAGCAGAATATTCCTCTAGCAGAGAAAAGCTTCGTTTTCTAGAGGGAAGGAATTCCGCACGAAGCATTTAAAATACCTGTCGCTGGTTAACTCATTCGAACTGAAATCAACGAAGAGAAACGTTGCAAATGTACGACGATATATGCCGCGCATATATGGTTATTTATCTCGGTCGGTAACACGCACGTGCAGGTTTCGCAAGCGAATGCTAGAAAGCTAGATAGAGGAAGGCAGTAGAAGTGACTAAGGCGCTCGTGTCGGGCGGATATTTGAAAATTCAGGTGAACCGACGAGGCGATGTCGGGAAGAGGGAAAAACTGGAGCAGATAACTGGCAGAGGGAGACGCATCGAGCGAACGATGACGATGGTAGTTTTCGTTGACGGTCTCGCGACAGCGACGTTAGCGACGATAATGGAAGTGACACGGACAGTGGCGGAGGCAGTGGAAACAGCAGCAGCGGCGGCGACGGCGGCGACGGCGGCGAACGTGAACGCGCGTGCGTGAGCGACGTCGCCGCGCGACGCAGCAGCGACGTAGCGACGACGACGTCGACGAGGACGAGGACGAGGACGAAGCGGCGGCCGAAGATCGCCGAGCGGACGGTTACGCGGAGAGACTACGGCTGGCATGGTGTGGGCCGCAGCACGGCCACAGTGTTCCAAAAGTCGGCACCACGCACGAATCGTGTTACGCGCGACGCAGAGCCACGAAGCTGCGTCGTCGAATCGCGCTCGGCTGGCCTCCGATCGAGTGCTCCGTCGAGCGCAGCCAGGGAACGCGAGCAACCAACAGCTGCTGGCTGCCGTCCGATTAGAGATCGATCGAATCGGCGTCGTCGACAACGACGACGACGACGACGACGACGAGGGCCGGGAAACTCGGGAGAACTCTGTCCGTAGCGTAGAGAGTCGACGACAGCTACGAAGACGGCGGCGGCGACGACGACGACGAGTAGTAGTAGTAGTAGTAGCAGTAGTAGTACTAGTAGTAGTAGTAGTAGTAGTAGTAGAACAACGGCATATTGTTATCGTTGGAAAAGATCGTGGCACGTGAACGAACAGGAGCAGTGCGCCGTGGGCAAACGATAAACCGCGAGTGGTCATAGTACGCGAATTGCCAATGAGAAGCAGCGTTAGCTCGAACGAAGACAAGCCGAGACGACGACGGTAAGTTCGGGCGGCATTATCGATAGGACTCGGGCGGGATTGCGCGGTGAAGGAAACGACGGAGTAAGGAGGCAAAAGGGCTCGCTAGAACGAACGAGGCGAAGTTGGGCCGGTTCGGCGATAGTATTCGACGTTGCAACACCGGTGAACCGTCGAACTAAGCGGGGATTCCCCTGGCGCGCGCGATACGCACAGTGGCCGTACGTCGCGAGTCGCTCGGTGACTCGATCGATCGGTCGAGCGATCGGTAATCAGCGAAAAAGGAGAAAAAAAAGAAAAAGAATCGTCGGCGATTAACGCGAGGACGCGAGTGTTGTCGAACAGCGATTTCATCGCTGAACGAAACGAAAGGAAAGGAAAGGAAAGGAAAGGAAAGGAAAGGAAAGGAAAACGGTCGGCTATCGGTCATTGTCGAGATTTCTGTGTTCAGTGACAAAACGCGTATATTACTCGTAGTGTGCCGCGTATATACCGCAACGATACGCAACGATCAACGACGACGACCACGATCACGATCCCGGCCTCGTTTCCTATAGAACGTGGTGGAGTGTGTGTGCGTGCCTCTATGGGTGAGCGTGTGTGTGTGTGAAACGCGGCTGAAGGAATCGACAAATAGTCGCGCTACAAGACGAAAGGTCGCGTTTGCCTCGCGTGTACTTGGGAGAATTCCAACTGGTTCGCCGTATATTCGCCAAAAGGGTAAATTATGCTCACCAGAAGCTATTGAATAATAAGCCGGAAAAACGACGTTCGAACAATCAGGCGAACGAACGTACGTCCGTCGTTCGGACGGTAGGTTCGCGCGAACAGCGATGGTCATCGAGCGGTCAGTCGTTCGATAACTAGCAGAATGCTACGGAAGCAAAGTCGCTAGCGAATTACACGGGCGCGACGCGTCTTTCCCGTACGTTTCCACGTTATTAGCTGGGTTATCGTCTTATCAAAACAAGAAAGAGAGACAGGAACAGGAAGAGAGTGTGTGAGAGAGAGAGAGAGAGAGAGAGA